AGCTCGAGGAGGTCATCATCAGATATGACACCACGCACTGTGTTCATCGACCTATGTGGGCCCACTGATATTGGGATGTTATCAAATGAAACGAGTTTTGTGAGCTTGTCGTACTGAGTCTTGTCGCGAACTTCTAGAAGGAAATCACCATTCCCCATCTTAGTTACTTTATAGCCAGGGCCAATTGCATCTGTGGGCGTTTTCGAGACAATAAATGGTGAAATAGATCGAACTGTTTTCTTTTCATTTTGGCTGTGGATTACATGATACTTGGGGAAGGTCTGTTTAGGCTGTGCAGTAAAGAAGCTGTCATCGGTGCGCCACCTTTTCAGGCGGCGATCAGGGAGTGCAGGAAAAGGGTTTTCCATAAGAAGCATTTTAAATTCGGCAGCGATGGTGGCCACCCACCACCGAGCCCAACAAGGGGACGCTTCAAGGTTGAATAGTGAACACTTGGAGACGCCAGCCATGCATCGCCGCTATAACCGAATATAACTACCCAAGGTTGGGTAACTACACAGGGTTAACCCTCGCCGCCAGGAAATTCGGAAGTAAACGGAAAAGAGAAGATGACAGGACAGATAAAAAGTGAGAGATAAAGACGAAGATGTAGGAAGAGAGAGATAGGAAAAGGCGACTGCCGATTTCCCCTGGGTGGGTCAGCCCAGGGGTGCCATCTACGTGAAGCTGGGGCCAAAGGGGTGTGTTGCTTCTGCCGGGGGGCCTTAACTCTTTCCTTACCGCGCCTATTCAATTTCGGTCAATCTGATCGATGGGTTCAAGTTGAAATTCCCGCGCCCCAACGCGCCTTATGGACATGAGGCGCCATCTGAAATGAAGCTCAGGAAGCACACAACCCGTGTCAGTTTCCGTTTTGGTTTCCGGAGACCCACTGATTATTTACCTTGCTTGGAAGATAAGCGAGCGTCCGGCGATAGCGGCAGCCATGGCGTCGGCGTCGCGCGCCGGGTCTGAAAGGAATCGTCGTATTTCTCATGATTCTAGTGTTGTTACAGTAGATTTTTCGGATGAAAGTGGTAGCAGTGGCCCTGAAGAAGATTCCCTATCATCGGAGTTTAGCACCGACAGCGATGAGGCCCTCAACACACTGGGAACGTCTTCGTCAGCTCGACGGTGAGTTTTTTTTACGGGATTTATTGCGTTGTTGAGCGCCTGCGAGGGGACCGAGCGTGTTGTCACAGTTATTATCTCTATCCGCAGGGTCTCTACGTCCTATGGGCGCGATTCAATGCCTCCCGCTGCACAGCGCGTGCAGTTTTGTCCAAGGCGGAAACCAGGAGTCGATCTGGGCATGGCGCGACGGAGCAGCACTAGTCGGTTTCTTCGAGCCCTGGATTTCTTCTTGCTGTTTTTCACAACGGAACTCGTCACAGCCATGTGCGAGAACACAAATAAATACGCCTGGGCGCACATTCTCGAGAAACCAACGTACTCGGAACGCGACGGATCGTGGAAAAATGTTTCCCCAGATGAAATAATGAAGTTCATCGGACTCCTCATCTACATGGGGATAGTGCAACTGCCTCACCTGCACCTCTATTGGAGCACAGCAGAGTTGTTTTCTGGGCTGATCCCACGTGGGGTTATGCCAAAAAAACGTTTTTTTCTCCTTCCTCGGTATACTGAGCGTGACGGAAACGTGTGGCGTTTACTTGTGCTTCATCGCGACCAGAGACTGCTTTGGTGAGTGGCACCGCCACCACAAGGGATAACATTTTTGTGTGGTCTCACAGTTGTTTACGTGTACTCTTGTAACCTCTGTGGTCTTTAGAAGTAACTACTACCTAACCAATGTATATTCAGAATTTGTATTGCCATCTTTTCGCTTGTTACACCCACTTTTTTTGGAAAAAAAAAAAAAACTTGTGTCCTTGAGAATTTTTTTGTTTGTTATTTTTTTTATTCTTACTGTGTAATAAAAGCTTGTTCTAAATTTATTGAAATAAATAGACCATTCATTCCTCTACATTTTCATGGGCTGCAGAACATTTAAAATATTTTTTATCTGCGGATAAAATTTTTTTTCTTGCACCCTCAGAAAATTGACCCGTAATCATGAGTGCTAACTTTTTTTTTCCTGTGCTAACAATTTTTTATGTGTACTGTTGAAACTTTTAGGATAGCTAGCTATGTAAATATGCCACAAAACGCATATCTTAATTTTTTTTTACTGAGATATTTGTGCCCACCATGCTTACTTTTCCACATTTTTTTTTTTTTTGCAGTAGTTGCGAGAAATTTGTTGTTTGAGATTTTTTTTCTGCTATTGTGTTGCAAACACATGTTTTGTATTTATATCATTAAAAAGCGCATTTATTTGTCTACATTTTGGTGTATTACAATCAACAAAAAAACATTGTTATATAACGATAAACTTTTTTTTGCTGCACCAAATGAAAACGGGTCTTTTCCTGGCGGTAAGGAAAGAGTTAATTAAGGGGAGATGCGGGTCGGAAAACGAGAATTTTCAAAAAAATTATCGATTTTTTGTTTTCACCTGTTTTGTTAAGATTAGTACCTCTACTATTCTGAAAAAAAAAAATCTATGTCGAGAATCAACTGGAAATGCTTTAAAATTGCGTCTGAAGAGCACAAGGTGGCTGTCAAAAAGCCGAAAGTGTGTCATCTTCGAGCACCTTGCCGCTGATAATGCGCCGCTGCTTGCCATTGTCGACCGCATGAGGCGAAGAACCGAGCCTCACTCTTCACATAGCGACGGTTTCCCGCGCTGCTGCAACGCAAGAAATAATAAAGAGAAGCGCGCTTTTGCCGCCTTTTTCGAGCGCCGCGACTGGCTTTTAAATCACGTGGTATGGATCGGGAGCCGCCATTGGCCGCTGCGCGCCTGTGTGTGCTGTGAAGCCTACTTGCGGGATCCATGTCTCGTCGAGCAGCACAGCTGAACAACGCTTTTCTCGAGTGCTTATTCGTTATGGATGAAGAAAGCCGTAGGAAGCGCGGTCACCGGCCTGTGAAGTTTCACGCGGCGCACAAATTTCGAGGACGCCGGCGCAAATCAAAGCCGAACACTCAAACCACGAAAAGATCGTCTGCTGCCGCAAAACGTAGTGGCAATGACGCCGATGCGCCCGACGAGTTTGCCGCGGCATTCGAATATGTGAGTGCCTCCCAGAAAAAGATCGGACTCTTCGAAGACGAAGAAAAATCACAGGACGACGAGTCTTCGTTGATTGCTGATGTCACAGCACTGAACATGCTTGTGCGCGGTGCAATGTGTCCGACCTGTCGCCATTTGGGTTTACGTGTCGGGAACCGGCCGACAAGCGGAAAGGACTTGCGTCGTTCGTCGAACTCCACTGCCCAAACAGTGAGTGCCCCGAGACTATTCTTTCGGCGACATATACTTCGCGGCGAGTAGCTTCAGGCGGGGAGGCCAGCGTGAGCGTGGCGGGTGACGGACTGACCGCGAGGAGAACATACGACAGCGGGAGGGCCATACGACAGCGGGAACATACGACAGCGGGAGGGACATAAGAGCCGTGAGGGCCAAACCTATGGTGCTGGCGCATTTTAATGGCAGTGGCCACTACAAGGAGGATTTTTCTTTCTTGTGTACAAATTTCGTCGCATTCAATGACATCTTTGTGATAAATAAACATGCAATTTTGACTTTAAAACTTCTTTTTCTCAAAACACAAATTTTGCCATTTTTGTCAATGTGCCCCTCCTTTTTCGGGTACTTATGGTCTTCAGATCTGCATGAAATTTTTCCCAAATTTTTTCCAAAGTACGAGAAATGCAATTATCTTGTTTAAGTTTCAATATTTTTTTTATATAATAAAAAAAAGTTATGTAAACTTTTACTGGGGTAGGAGAAATATGAACTTCCCACGTTAAAATTTTTCACGTCTAGTACATATTTTGTATGGACTTCTAAATTAGTTGTTTGCATTCCACACTTCATTTGAAACATTATGAACTATCAATTGTAAAAAATTAATGAAGTTTAGGTATGAAAAGAGGGAGGGCAAAGGGCTTAAGTTTTTCACTTTGTCATGTTGCAAAACTAAAAGTATGCAACTTGCAAGACAACTCATTATATATTCGAAATCAGCATAAAAAGTTCTATAAGCACCTCAAGTTTCATTGCTCTCGAATGAATTTAAAAAAAAAAGTGTCTTCGACCCGCATCTCCCCTTAAAGGTCCAATCACCCAGCGTCAGCTCAACCCCAGGATCCCCTTTTCCCCGGACACGGCAAAGCCACGCACGGCTAGGCGTGGGAGGGAGTCAGAACTCCCCCGTTAGCTCGGGTCTATTTCAGGGCTTCTTTAAAGGGAGTCTACTGTAGTTTCATTAGCCGGTCCTATTGCTCTCAATGCAGTTGGCCACGGAGAAACCCCTTTAGTGCATGTAGAAGCCGCATTACTCCAAGGAGGAGTCACACAAAGTGAAAGACGAAGAACGTAACTGCGTCTAGGGTGACTCCTGACGCGAGCGTAGCCAGTATTGAGATGCTTTAGATGTGGCTTTTGAGGCTGTGAATCTCGGAGGCCATGCCTAACTACATCTTTGCCGAATAACTTCCCTTGACTAATCAGACTGTAGCACCACACCGCCCCATCTATACCTTACAACAGAGTCTGCATCGTCTAAGGGATATAAGGAGGGTTTGTGGCATTTTATGCAGCTCCATAGGTAGCTTATTCGATAGTCCACCACGCACTTGTCGCGGACCAAGAAGTTGTGCGTTCAATTGTGCGTTCAATAGGCTGTGGCGGTACTTTTTATTAGGTTTTGATTTATTATTTTCATCCGTTATCAATCATTTTACCAACCTCATATCCCTAAAGGATCTACGTCGATGAGCCGCAGCACAGAAGCCGCACAACAGCTCATGGACCGGCACAACTCGTGAAACCAGCTCTGAAGCTCTACACAGTCATGCACACTGTAAAGCGCAGTGCACTACTGCACTAACTGTGGAGAATATGGTGTAGAAAGGTGCTGTCTACATACGTTTTCGTTGACCACATCTTTGATGGCACGCACATAGGAGTCAGTGCTGTCATTGAAAAGCTCTCGATACTGCGGTGGCCGAATGTTTATGCCCATAGGGGGGCACACCTTGGACATCATTTGTGTGAATCCTCGTGCACGCTCTCCATCCCGCTTTGTGAAGATAATGATCCAGTTCTCCAGATGCACCTATACAAAACCAAACATTTATGAGCACACAGCTAAGCATTTTCTTCAGGTTGCCTAGCAAATTGCATCACTGACCACTGTGGCGAAAATTCCCCGACTGATGCAATTAACACTTTAAAAAAAAGGATCGTATAAAACAAGAGCCAAAAACAAAATCTGCACTGTTTAACTTGAACGTAACAAAATTGACAAATTCCCCCCCACCCCCCAAAAAAAAAAAAAACTCGTTATAAAGAGGATTTAGTTACACGCAGGTTCAGTACCAAAAATTCGAAAATAAATGCACAAATTAAACAAAAGGAGAACAGAATGCAGAGCTAATCCAGAACACTTATTTAGCGGTAAACAAAAGTATTATTGCAATATCAATTATGTGGACACTCTCGACGGGTTTTTGCTGTCGCCGCCATATTCCGAAACAAGCCCAAATTTATAACATGCCCGCGCATCTTAACTTTCACGAGCGGGTAAAAGTAAAAGCATGCGAGCGCTGCTGAAGCAGATATCAAAGGAGTTGGCCCATCCCTATCGCCTAGGAACTGTGTAGGATACCATCTCCCAAGTGTTAGAACTGCTGTCGAATGCTGAAACAGAAAGTAACCGACTCGTCTTGAAAGTGCATGAAAAAATGCAGGGGGAGGGGGTGCACGAGTAGCAATAATGAACTTGGATTTTAAGAAGAGCAGCCGCGATCACTGGCGTGCTTGCTATCTCGGCGAGTAAATCAGTGCACTTTCAACGTGAAGAGACTGTGAGAAAAGAGAGCTCCCTGGAGCAGCCGTATTTGTTCACACCAGTGTTTTGTAGGAGTTCCGCAATATCGGATCCAAAAGAGTTGGCTGCCAGCCTTACTTTTTATAACATAATATTTTTGCTATCGTGTTCATTGCACTGCATTCAACGCGCCGTCGTGTTGCCAGAACAAATTGGCTAATAAGGAAAGCTACCAGCCTCCGAACAAAGAGTGCGGCACAAGACAGAAGTGCGTGACGAGTCGACCTCTGAAAATCCGTCGTCACCGTGGTCTCGGAGAGTTTCCATCAGCGCCTAATCTGACATCCCCTCGATTGTGACAACACGGTTGTCTGAAATTAAGGAAAGAAAAGTCACAGCTTCGCCACAAGGGCCAAGCAATGAATGCGATAGCAACAACTTCGAACGTAACGCTCAGAACGGCAAGCAGGTCGAAACGTGCAGTGCGCTGCTCACGCACAAAATGACGCACGAAAATAACATACGCAGGATGAGAGAGAGAACTAACAACATTTCCCGCTCGACACTTAACGCGCTGTTTATGCAAAAACGAGGCACGAAACGTAACCGCAGGTGCAGATATGAATGCGAACTAACAAGTGCCCCAGCTGTTACTTCGCCGTGTTTGAAAAGCGCACTCTTCGCAAACGGCGCCTGTCCATCAAGCGAAGTGATGTTTGCGCACCCGGCAACTAAACACAATTGTTCCAGTCAAAGTCGAAGCCGGGCGATTCTCTACGATTCTCCCTACCAAAGGATAAGCGCACGCACATACCATTCACGGGACAAAGTACACATGGAAGATAAGCACCCATCGGCCCATCGTGACAAACTCCACGGCGAGCGCGAGCGGCTTTTTTTTTTTTTCTTGAGTTTTCATGTATATAGGCACGTATACATATACGGCGAATGACGGCGGCAATGGCGAAAAAACCGGCAGAGATTGTCCATATAATTGCTACTGCAATAAAAAAAGAGCAAAGCTGAACGTCATCGGGGGCCACACCATTCGCTCGCAGTGAAACTAAGCACGCACGCACGGAATCGAGAAACGAAGAGGGAACGACACGTACACAGACACCGCAGAAAACTTTTCAGTAAAGCGCCCTCCACATGCAGCGCGGCCCCGCATATGTGACCCTAACTAAAAGTGCGGCACTGCCAACGTGCAAAAGCATTTTTTGTTGTTGTTTTGAGTGGGGGAGGGGGGTGAAACTGCGGGTGCATGCGCATACGGCGGTGAGCACAGCGGCAACGCCAAGTCGTGGATTGTAAGCCCTCCTCGCCTTCACCAGCGCAGCGCTCACTCTCGCGGGCCACGCCCTGCGTGCCGCCACTGCTTTGCGTTTTGCCATGTCGGCGGCAGGGGAGCTGCGGAAGATAGATGCTCATACCAAAATGCTAAAATGTGGAGCAAATTTCCTAGATTGTCCAAGGAGCAGTGGAAGCGTACTGGGCCCATAACCAAGATTGTCCAAGGAGAAAATTCGTTTATCAAGGTTGTCTCCCGCTGTTACTTTGTTAGATAGAGGTCACAAATACATGTGTTACTATTGAGCAACAGCGAGAAATAGAAAAACTTCCATTATACCGAGGCATACATTACATGGAGGTTCATTATAAGCAGGTTTAACTGTATACGCTTCTAGCCATAGCTGCATTTGAAGACTAGGAAATTCATACAGTCGAATCTCGATAATTCGAACTAGAAGGGGTTCGTAAATCTGTACGAATTAAAAGAAGTTCGAATCAATGAAAGCTAAGTAAACGAAGGACTCCCCATGCAGTGGCGCATGTGCATTGTAACACACAAGGGGGGAAGGTTTCAGAAGACTTGCTTTATTCACAAATTAAAAGGACATCAGATATTAATTGAAGTAATCGTTGATGTGCCTCTGGACATGTTTGCCTTGCAGCGAGTCAATCAATTTTGCATGCAGTTTGCAAAGCATGTCTACTTCGGCTTCAGCATTCTCCTGGCTAGAGAAGTTACGTGCGGCATGGTCCAGCGCCGACACTACCCAAAGACGACAACCACAACTACTACATCTCCACTCTTCCCCTCTGTGCCACAGCCTCAGCGTTGCCAGCACATGACGAGAAAGAAGAAGCGTACCTCCTTTCGGAAGTGCACTTGCTACCACATTTGTCACAAGATTTTGTGTCAACAACATTATAACCGATTCTTCATCTTGGGGGACCACACAATAAGAGGTATGCATATACATATACATGGGGTTTTATGGGAGGGTAAATGGGAGTCGAAAAAGACCACATTGTAGTGGGTTTTACAGGCACTATCGGCAATTACTTTATCAGTGGTCTGCACTACATTTTCTTGACAAGTTCACATAATGTAATCCACGCACAGGAATTACAACCTCAACTGTCTACTTACAGCTTTGATGACAGAGTCTTGCGATAGAAGGCGGCCCCAGTCTGCAGTGCCATTATGGTAGTGGGTCTTGGATTTCATCATTATTTTCTCTTCTGGCAAGATACGGCCTTCAAGCTACAAAAAATAGCAATAACAAATGAGTAACCAGAAACCAGATTTAAATATTCGTCAAAAGCACTTCAAGGATCACAGTCGAAAATCCCTCAAAACTTGATTGACTGCTTCAAGCCGGAAGGTATGGGGAACTAGTAAGGAAATTTCACTTGCTTGTAAACAGTAGCACCATAACACAAGACCCTGGCAAGTGGAGGCAACAATTTTTGTTAGGACATGCTGAAATTGCTCAAGACAAATTCCCTTGCTCACTGAAAATTGAGCTATACTTTCTAAATGGTCCGATAAAACTGTTTCCAGCATTATATTACCTATGGTATTTCACTAAAGCTATGTAAAGAACAAGAATATTTGTTCACTGTTAGTACAGTCAAACCACTTTAATAAATGAGGGAAGAGCAAATTGTGCTTCATGTCGAACACATGTCTCAGTATTATTCATGTGAAATGCACTTTCTATAGCAAATTGTATGTTGCTATGTTGGATAAACTATACAAACTAGGGTAAAGTAAAAGCAGCATCTCGCTTTGAAGGAAAATATTTCATAAAAAATTTCAAAATGCCCAACGCTAAAGCAAAGTTAGTTGGCAACCTTATATGGACAACATGCAGAATTTGCTTTCTGCATAAGAGCTGTTTAGCTGGATAATCTCGCTCTATAACATCAAGCTCTGTTTACTGCCAGTTCACTGCCAAGCTCTGTTTACTCTACACCTGGGTCAAAGTATCATTATCACAGTAAGTTGGATTATCACAAAACATACAATTTTGCGATATTCCACATGTATTATCACCCGCACTTGGCAAGATGCGACATGCCATTGTTTTCGGCACGATGGACTGGGTCAGCTGAAGGTGTGAAAGCAGCTGAACAAAATGATGAGTTAGTCATTTTGTTCACATTGCTCAAATGCACCTCAACAGATTATACCGTACAGTAGACTCTCAGTAAACGAAAATCTGTTAAACAGAACTGCTACTTAAATGGAACAACTTCCTCAGATACGATTGGTTTCATACTCAAATGCTGTACCCCACTTCCCTTCTCAGTAAACGGAACTCCTGTTAAACGGCACACATATTCCCGGTTCCTTCAGGTTCCGTTTAATGACAGTCTACTGTATATTGCAGATAAGAAGTCGGCCCCCAAATTGCGACCGTATCTAGGCAAAAAAAAAAAAGTCAACTACAAACACAGCCTCATGCTGCGGCCATAGCACACCAGTACTTCAGAAACATGCACAGAAACATTTATTTGACCGTGTAACATCACTTACGACTCGTCGCTTTAGAAAAAGATGTTACTGTCACGGTCAAGTCATTGCCATCGTCTGAGCCACTGCTGCTGCTCGCCGTCGGAAGGGGTGCTGGTGGTACTGAGATTCCAGACGAGAAAAACGCCGCATGGACCATGTCGGTTGGCAGTCCATACACAGCATCATTAACCCATTGCACCACTTCACTGAAAGAGCTCGGTTCGAACTCAGTGAGTGGAATGCACATACTCTTTGAGACAGTACCTGCTTTTTCTTCAATATCATCGTTGAAAACACTCACGTTTTTGCTTCTCTAATCGTGAACCAAAACTCTAACCGCTTCCTCAACGGCTTGGTATCGTCCAGACTTCGGTCTCCGAAAGGAACGGCAAGTCCCAGCGCACACAAAGATCTTGGTCCTTTGTTTTCTCCATTCCCTCACGCACTTCTTCGACACATCGAACTTCCTCCTTGCTTCAACATTGCTTTCCTACTCCGCGTCGAGGATCATGTGCCGCTTGGAAGCAGTGCTGTACTGTTGCCGGTGTAGCGGTGGAATCTTGACAACGGTTGAGCAGCTTCGTAAATCGCACGCACCACTGTTCGTAAGCGAGGCGCAATGCAGAAATGGTGAGCAAGCGTGTGCGCAAAAAGACGTGAAGACACTTGTGGGCGCATGTGACTGTGGTCATGTGGTTTAGTTCTTACAGAACTGTTTTCAGCCCACACGGCGCTGCCAGCTTTTTCGTGGAACACCCATGGTGCTTTGCAGGAAATTTAAATTTGTAATTGCTTAGTCACCAAACGCTCTCTCTAAGGGCACGCTGTCCACTAAAGCGAGAAATGCATGTCGCATCTTTCGTGAACGATAAACGTCATGGTTTTTTTTTTTTTTTTGCGTGCGAGACATGCAAGTCAAAGTTTTTTTGCGACGGGTAAACGTATGTCGCATTGTTAGTGAGCTATAAGCACATGGTGCATTTGTTTACGAGCCAAATGCGCTGTCGCTATTGTTGCCAACCTCGTCCGACAGACGCATCGATGCGGTGACACCAGGTGTTGCTCTCCGGTGGCACTACCATTGAAACTGTCATGCGGTCAGCGATGCATCATAAAAAAATGCTGTATCTCTGACGCACCATTTCCGACACCTCCTCTTCTAGCCACCATAGATAGGGAACCGAAGCTCAAGTTTACGGAGCGATGACAACACAGCGCCTGGGTCTGCCGGCGAGCTCCGTAACACTTGAGAAAAGACGCGGGAGAGGTCGCAGGCGAGTGAGCGTGTTTCGGCGAAACAGACGCGCGTGCAACACATGCGAAACGCGTTCTGCAGACGGTGCTGGTAACTTGGGCGCCGTGCCGTCGACTTGGCACGCTAAAACGAGACGCTCGCTGTGCGAAGTTGCCTTTCCGCGATGGAAGAAGCGGCCCCACGAAAGGTCGCCGAGGTCTGAAGTATTGTATTGTGAGCTGCCACAACAATACAGAAAACACCAAGGGACGCTCTCCACGTGTCAAGCTTTATCAGTTTCCCATCTAGTCACAGCCGGCGAACACAGCCGCGTTCATAAAAAATACAGCATGACACGAGAGCCGGAAAAAAAAGGCAAGCACTTCAACTTGACTCGCTATGGTTAAACTTAGCTTGCTGCTTTGCGGCGACGTCACCGGGTCATGCACAGCACGGAGGACATGACTCAAACTTCTCGGACATTTTAATGCCATGACCCTATAATTGTAGCTTTTGTTTATTTTTTCAGCATGCCGCAAATGTTTGCACATGACAGTACAAGGCTGCTACTGCTAAATACCACATCAAAACAACAGTTATATGCTTTCCATAAACGTCAACACAGCAAATCGATAGAGTATGCGGCTTCATGTCGGACAAGACTTACCTCAAGGCATAACATCGTACACTGTATTATCATGAAGGACCCGAGAAATGCATTTCGCAGTGACTCTGGCGTCCTCATCTTGCGTTGTCTGCTCCACATCATAAACTTGAATAAAAAGCTTTACTCCTTTGGTTCGATTCGCTTCTCAGAAGTGCTTGTCCAGATCAGAGATCTTTGTGAAGCCGCACTGCAAGCGGTACATTGTGAGGTGACCGAAACGCAGCGCGCGCTATCTGCACGAGCACGTAAGCGAGCGGCAGCGCATTGAAGCGAAGGGAAAACACGCCATCTACATCCCCGATTTCTACTTTTCTACCAAAGATGGAGCTGCCTGTCCGGAATCACAGCGCCACTATGCGTTGCTTTGGCTTCCTATAGCTAAGCCGTAACATTTGTGGTCGTCATGGCAGATCGTAAAAATGTCCGGGTCCAGAAGCGGCACGCGTTCGTTGGGAGATAGCAGTTCTTGCGACTTCGTTGCCTCTGCGGCTGATGTTATCGATGCATCGAATAGCAGTGAATAAGAGTACGATGAGCGTTTGTCAGACCCCTAAGAAAAGTAGACTTTATGATTCCAAGTCAACTTTATCTACCGTTCCACATATAGGTTGACTCCGATTATAGGTCAATCCCCGGACTTTAGAAGACTGTTTTATGGGAAAAAAAACGTAGACTTATAAGCGGCAATACACGGTAACTTGTGAAGTTTTACATGTCAAATCCGTTATACAAATATGAGGCACGCTATAGTGAAGAGCTCCGGAAATTTCAACCATATGGTGTTCCAATGTACACCGATGTCATACAATACCCACCACCACAGACAGGAATGAACCCACGACTTTAAGATCAGCAGGTGGGCACTGTAACTACACCGTCATAACACACACCCCAAAAATTCTGCTGTCATAGCTGAGGTAGCAATGACACGAAAATTGTTGCTCATGTAATGGTGTCTGGTGTCATAAAGGACAAAAAGGCATCACCACCAGTGAAAAACTATCACAATCATCCAACTTTTTCTGAAGCACCTTCCGCAGTAGTTGTGCTGCACCACTACTGTGCCGATATGCAAGGAAGTGAACTTGCACTGGTGTGATTGACTTTATTTTACTGGCTCAGGATGCAGTTCACAATGCAGCTAAGTACATGGTGCAAATTAGTCAGTGCTACTGTTTGGAGCATGGTTATGCCCAGTTCCGGGCAGGTACATGTTAACGGGGTTTTCCATTGATACCCCTGTCACACGGGCACTTAAAAGTCTTTTAAGTAAGCGGTCTTTTTGCGAAAAGGAGTTCCTGACAGCAGACACACGGCACAGAGCGAACGCCTTTGAAGAAGCGGTCTTTTTCGTAAACGGCGTTCGTCGATCTCTTTTACGGCTCCGAATGAGTAGCCTCGAAACCAGTGGGCGCCAGCAATTTTCGAGAGGTGGAAAAAAAAGAGCAAATGCTTATTTTTCTGTCACCAAAACTTTTTGTGAAAACAAATTTCATATCCTGCAGAAGGTGTAATGAACTCTTTTAATGGTTATTTCCTTTTCTACTCTCGTAAGCAGCTACAACTCGTCGGCAATATCACGTGGTGACGCTCGGTCTCGCGCCGCGCCATTTTGCACAAGCGAGGAAAGCGTGGCAGTCGTGTGTTTGCCCGTCATTTAAGTGGTCCGAGTCGGGGCGTCTATGGCCAACTCCGGAGATCAAGCAGCCGGTGCCCCACGGAAAAGGCAGCGTCTGCAATGGTCAGAAGCAGACACGTGGAGCCTAATCAGACTCTGGGAGGACAACCTGCACTCGTTGCGAGCGCAGAAGCACAACGGCGAGGTGTACACCAGCATCGCGGCTGCACTCACAAGTGCGGGTGTCTCCCGCACGAAGGACCAAGTGCACACAAAAATAGAAAATCTGACACACACCTACAGGTGAGGCAAATTATTTGAGTAAGCTTGACGCGTCTTAGCGGCCTGTAAGCGTGAGGAGGGAAGTGAGACGACAACAGCGATCATGAGAAAAAATGATTTTTTTAAAATTGTATTGCAGGTATGTTATCGAATGCTTCCAGTAAGTTTACTGGCGATTTGAGCAGCAGAATTTTTTCGCGAGCAGGTGAAGCGCATTTGGCGTGGGAAACGTCCGAACAATCTTTTCGAAACGACGCCCCACCGTAGGCAAAACGTTGAACACCAAGTGAATGGCCACGTTTGGAAGCATGCTTATCGCGCGTTTTAGCCGCACACAAAGTTTCTTTTCGGCGATTTGCAGTGGAATTGCTTTACAATGACGCGATGTTGCAGTTACACATGTTTAAGTACAAACGTCAAGAAACGCGTCTTTGTTGCTTGTTAAGCGTGCAAACCTGTCATGTAACAAGAAGGAAACGCGCACTTGATGTGGCGTAGGTTTAACAATTCGCTTCTTTCTACTTTTCGCCGCGCGATTGTACATTTTGCATGTACCAGTGGTTTTCTCAGCGCGCAGTTGTCAGTCTTGTAACATCTGTTTAATCATTTATTTTCGTATTCTTCAGGAAATGCCTTGAAGAAAAGACAACGGGCTCGTCCCCACCAAGCTGGACCTTTTTTGTAGAGATCCACAGATTTCTTGGAAGCCTGCCTGTAAACGACCCCTCTTTAATGGAGGAGGCTGGGATCAGCTCGAGCCCAGCAAGCAGCAGTCCCTCAGTTGAGGAAGTAAGTAACTTCTAGTGGCAGCTACATTCTTTATTGCAAGCAAGTAGCAGCGTTAAGTGCAATGGCAGTGGCTTTTTGTTTTTTGAAGCTGTAACCCACTCTTTGTACCAGTGTAGCACAGTGTGCACCACGTTGGTGCTTCATGTTTGCCTTTAGCCATGTTCTCCGAGATATTGTTGCTGTAGTGTTTTAAATAAACCAACAAAGAAATATATTTTCAGAAAGCATTTTCTTTTGCGTTTAATCAGCCACATCACCACAATAAAGTATGATTTAACATGACATGGTGGCACAAACCAGAACAAATATAACAGGGACAATCATAAGAGTACATTCTGGGACAAATACTGCAGTGGCTGAAATACATCTGCACTCACATTGCCATTTCGGCGTCACAGAGCTTTTGGAACCATTACACCAGTCCTTAGGGTAAACGTAATGGTTAAGCAATTCGTGTGGGAGTCAGCATTGTAACACAAAAAGCACTCTTGTTGACATTTCCTTCTCTATGTGACATTTCCATCACTCAGACGTATAGCACACAGTTGTTAATGGCTATTTCACATGTGAAAATGTGCAATCACCGCATTTCTGTCATTTTCTTGAAATGCAGCTCATCTCTGGCATGGTGACCGGATCGTCAAGTGACGATACGGAAGTAGATGCACCCGAATTCGCACAGGCTTCAGCAGCACCTCAGCAGCCAAGCAACATCCAAGACTGTGTCACCGGGCGCAGAAACAGCCCAAGCGACAGTGGAGATCGCGCCCGCAGAAAACGAAGAAAATACACAGGTGCCGAAATGAAGGAGAAGATGCTGAATGAGCAGCGACTCTTGAGGGAGCAATTTGAAGCCGCCCATAAAGAGGAGATAGAGATCCGAACAAAAGCATTAAAGCTGCAGGAGAAACTTGTGGATGCAATGGTTGATTTTTTTAATAAAAAGTGATGCGATTTCCTGTACTCATTCCGGCGATTCTTGTGATTGTTGCGTTTTAGTTCACTTGACTGTAGTAGTCCACAAGCGCGGCCCTTATGTCTGCTGCGTTTCCAACTTGGACTTCTGTTGTGCATGACGGCTGTGGGAAGTCAACGTCTGACTGCTGCACTTCATTTAACCACTGCGGGTGGACATTGTCATTGAAGTGCTCACAAATGTTGCTTAGCACGCAGCATGCCCGTATTACTAAGCGAGCATTGCCTACATGGCACTCCATCCTTTTTGCAGTGAAGCGGAACCTGGCCTTAAGCCTTCCAAATGCATTTTCAACAATTCTCCTAGCTGAACTTAAATGATAGTTGAACTTTTTTTCACTTTCACTAATCTTCCCGCGGTGTCCAAACGGCTTCATCAGGCTGGGTGCCAATGCAAATGCTTGGTCACACAGAATTAGTGGTGGTACTACTGTCCCGGCTATGGTGGCAAGTGGAGCTTTAAAAAGGGGACCCTTAATAGCATTGGATATTTGCGAATACCCAAACACGTGCGAGTCATGGCAGCGTCCAGGTGCTCCAACGTTGATATACCTGAAGCGGTATCTGTGATCCACAAGTGCCAGCAAGATGATACTATACCTGCAAAAAACAAAGAGCGTGGCACGTAAGGTGAATGCAGCAAAGTGCAATAAACACCAAATGTGTGTGCGTGTGTTTTTGTAGTTGTTACAGTGGTGCAGCTACCTTAAAGTACTATCACAAAAGCATGTATATTTGTGTACAGCTAAGAATCCGCTGTTTTCTGTGGTCATTAATGGAGCCAGGGATTTTTTTTTTTTTTTTTCTTGCAGCCTTGTCATATGTCTTCAACATAGTAGGTAATAGACATTAAGTTTTCTGCAGATGAGCTGCTGCTTTCTGCGGCCGTTATGAGCATGTCGGAATTATCATTGCAAATGCAATCTGGCATCTTCATGCTGTTGCATTAAAATGCTTACGTGAAAATTGCGTTGCTTGGCTTGCTCTAATGCCTGTAAATGATGCGAGATGGTAGGAACCAATTGTGCGTTGACGAAAGTACTTCGCATTGCTTTTTTTTTTTTATTTATTGCGATGTGGACTTGCCCTTGTGGCAGAGCTAGGAGTGAACTATATAGCGTAACGAAAAGGTTGAATAGTGCTGTTTTCTAGGCACATTAAAATACGGTATAAATCATGCTTTTTTTTTTACATTAAGAAGTTGTATTAGGCCACTTACCAGCCTTTGTAGTTGTAGTAGTCTGTGGCATGCTCCTTAGGTGGCGAGATCGGAAAGTGGCATCCATCCAAGGCTCCGACGCCTTGGCGGAAACCGGTGACGGCCTCGAATTCCTGAATGTGCCTCGCTATTTCCTCTGGGGTCACCATTTTGATCCACTCGTGTTCCAGTACAGCGACAACAGCCTCGCAAAACTGCCTGTATAAGGTATTTACTGTCGAGCGTCCAACGCCGAAGAGGTTGGCCACAGTCCTATCTTCGGCTGACGAGCACAGCTTGTATAGGGCAATGCCGACTCGCTTCTCAGGAGTGATGGCTTCACGCATGTTGGTGCACTGTCTTTCGAGCTCACTGCGCAAGCTCTCCACAATGAAACGAAATGTGGACGGGTACACTCGAAAAGATTGTTTGAAGTTCTGCTCACCGAGGTGAGGTACAGTTCCCTCGAACCACCTCTCGTTTCGTCTGAAGGCCCAGATCGATCGATCGCAGGCTTTCTCCGACAGCTCCAGTGCGCACAGCAAGGAATTGCTGAACAGAATTTGCTGCTTTATCCTCTCCTTGGCGGCTTTTGCAGCGTCTGCCTCGCTTTCCAGAGCGAGAAGGCAGGCCATGAGGCTTGCAATCCTCGCTTTTTCTCCCGTATGGTCGCCCATAACGTGTCGAGAGCAGTCGAGACCAGCGAAAAACAAATACGGTAAATAAAAGCCCAGGGATGCCAGACGGACTTGCGCACGTCGCTAGTTATGGGAATGCTTTCTTATATAGTGCAAAAAACATTCACATTGGTGTTTCTTGATCTCTTATTCTTAAATTTATTTGAAGAAACAAGCAGTGCAACAAGTTTTTAATTTGTACATCGTGATACATCGTTTAATTTTCATTGCTTCTCTTTTAACTGCTAGCGCCACGCTTTCGCTAGCGTCTTCGAACGAAAACACTAAAAGGAGATCGTTGCTGCCGTGTGTCTGCGCCGCAAACACCCCTTTGTTAAAAATCTTTCAACTTCGTAAAAGACCGCTTACTTAAAAGACTTTTTACGCGCCCGTGTGACACAGGTATGACACAATGAGATTTCCCCCTTGAATGAAACTTTTGGATGTCCCGTAAGTTTTTTTGTAGCAAGAATTGACACTATAAAAATATTTGAATACTTAATGAATTCACGAAATCTTAGCTATGACTTACAGTAGAAATAGCAACTGGGAAAAAAAATAAGTTTTTTTTTGGCTAACAAAATATTTAGTGTAGTAGTACTAGCTTTTATTAACTGCTTCATTTAAGTATTACATTTTGTTACCTAGCTCAATGAACAAATCCAAAAGACAACCAAAGGCTACCAATACACCATCTTTGCAGCAAAAAAAGTCTAGGCATAAAAAACAAAATGAGTAGCCAACTATACTCACACTCACTGCACCGGATTCCAGCGACAAACCCCAATTGCCAAGGACCTTCATAGCATCTGGGCAATCCTTAACTCTCTTCACATACTGAGTCAGCGAGAACTGCCTTTGATTTGGGCTCACTCTTGTCTGACTTGCTAAGTCCTGTGCAAAGAAGAAACAGACAGTTGTAACCTCACAGTCGGGTGTTGTTTTCGTAAGGCACTACGATTTGCAACATGACAACTCTAGCATCATCAGAGTGCTTAGGCACTGGTTTTTCAGTTTTGACCAATAAAAAATTATGAGCATGCATCTTCTGGAAGATATTTCTTGATTGTAAAGTCCCAGGTCATATTGTGAGTCGATAATAGCTAGCTAAACCTCTCCCTCAATTTGAGCAAAAATAATTTATTTCATACCAAACAAAAATTTCAGTGAAGTCTCATCCAAGAGCACAATTAAGACGAAAATTGCACTATGAACCAATGGAAAATAAAAAGAAAAAAACTAACACTCCAACACAGGTTCATAACGAAATAAGACAGCCTCCCATTAATTAAAGCAAAAAAGCAAATGATTCCTTAGTTGACTTTAAATGCCACACCCCCCCCCCCCCCCCCCCCCCCCCATGTTTTTTAAAGAAACGCTTAGTCTATTATGGTTGATCATAATGTGGCTCAACTGTACTAGCAACATTATAAACTTTAATCGTGTCAGAAAATATTGCCACAATGCGGCAGCCTGGCTTGGAGTGCTGCACGGTGAATTGAAGTGGCCCGTGGTAGTTGCATACTGGCAAAACCAAACTATAGACATACACTCAAAGCTCGATATAACCTGGATATAACGAAATATTGGTTATAACAAAGTAAAATAAGAACAGTCTTGCAATAGCTGTAGTGTTAGGAAGATACCTTTATGACAAATTTTTGAATATAACCAGGTTATTTTCATGCAAGATGCAACCTCGCTTATACACATCCGGTTTTTGCAATGAACCGCACTTTATGATGAACCTGTTTGGTACCCTCAAAACCCACATAAAAATGTATTAAACACCTCTATTATACATAACATGGACACCACATTGTACAAAGACTATGTGATACAGTGCAAGGGAAAAAAATCAACTTTTTTTTTTGTTTGTTTGACTAACCAATCTAATCAGGGTTCGTGCAGGTTTCCAAGGTGAATATTCAAGGATATTTAAGGACTTTCCAGGACCTGTGTCAAGTTTTTCAAGAACTCAAAATGGCATGTAAAGCTGCAATTTTGCCCTATAAAATTATCAAAAATGACTCATTTTATTGCACTTACAGTAAAAAAATGCCTATTGCAGACAACCATATTTTCGTGTGGTTTCTATCGCGTTCATTACTGCTGCACACAATGACCAGTCATAAGTTGGTGGAACATCATACAGTAGCCCGAAATCATATTAGTAGCAGGAAGTCGCACCAAAACCGCGGCAGTAGCCTCAATAATGCCTCGGTGTCGAGTGGCGTGGTGCGTAAGAAACAGTCTTGCCCACATGTGAAATCAAATTATTCGTCTCTGTGTGATTGGGACGACGGAGAGAAACCAGTGCCCAACATCTCCGAGGTCATGCTTCATGCGCAGCAGTTTTCAAGAACAAAAAATTCAAGAGTGTTGGGTTGTGTGCAAGTAACAACTGTCACTTCACACTCATCCAGTGCATACCTGTGCATTCTTTTCAAGCATCTTTTTTCCTGTTCAAGCAGCACGCTGCAAATGTCAAGAGTGAGAGTTGTTCGTTAGCATTCTTCTTGTGCGTGTTATTTTCGTGCGCCCTTAGTGCTTACAGGGAAGCTGAAGCACTTTTCTAAAAAAAAATGACCTTGGAGCGTGTAAGGACAGTTTGATCCCATCCCTGCTCAATCAGAAAAGCGATGTGAAAGTTCTCCAAATTGAATGCCAATAGCACTTTTCCGAGAAAAAACCAGTAGCTGTCACCGCCGGGCTTCTTGAGATAGCGAGAGAACATGGTGACGTCATTCTCCATATGCCGCGTCATCTACAACAGAAACACTGTTGAAGTGTGCACTCTTCGATTAGTTCCGGCAACGGCACAACACGGGTTAGTCATGAAGTCCATGGTTGAAGATAAGAAAGAACACTTGCTCCGGGCCAGACGAAACGAAGATTACTAATGTTTCCACGTCTACACTCGCGGGGGCAGAGCAAGACAAGCTTTTATTTCTCCTGTTATAAAGCTCCTGCTGCTAGAACCGCGAAAACAATTGACATGGTCAACAATAATGTCGGTCCTTCCTAAACACGAAGTTTGATTGAATTCTAAAAATCCCTTCAGCTTCCCTTCAAGTGGAGCACTGCATATACCGAGTTGCTTGCTATTTAACACTGTTGCTATAACTTTGACTGCTTCGCCGTCACCACAAAACTGGCTTTTTTTTTTTTTGCACGTGCAGTTCTGAAAAACAAAACCACGTGCACCCACCCCCCATTACTGCTCTTCAAATGGAGAGTTTGACAGGTTGACATGCCGATCCACCATGTTTAGGAGGCCATAATGTCAACACGAGAGTGCACTGCTAAGGAATTTCGAAGGTCTTGAAAGATGGGGAAAAATTCCAAAACTTTCTCAAGGGCCTTGAAAACGCATTTTTATTATTCAAGAAATTTCAAGGATTTCAAGGACTTGTATGCACCCTGCAAATATTCAGTTAGGAGTTAAAAATAAAAACTTGCACGTCCCAACTTGACTGTCAGAAAGTACTGCAAGTAAAGGCACCGTATCGCCTCTTGAATTGGAAAATTTGTTTTTCTGGCAGTTCATTTGGCTCTGTGAATCAGTTTTCTTGGCTTTCAAATCTCTCCTGGATCATGAGCGTATCGTGTGTGCACACGCCTTGATCGTGTGCATTTCCCAGGGCCGCTACCTGCACAAGCTTCACTTAACAAGGAGTCGCTCCAGCTAGTGTGCTAGCTTGTTTTTCAAGACCCAAGTATTTTCTCATTTTTGTCCTGTGCAAATTTTCCTAGTCTACATTCATCTGCATACCTCCATTTCCATGCTGCACTTTGCCATGGGCATTAGGCACAGGAAAAAGGATGCAATGCACCATCTCCATGGTGCAAACAGTTTTCCTTGACATCAGCATTTCACAAGGCATCAAATACGATGTGCACATTTCAGTTGCGCACAACAGCATTCAACGCGAAGTCGCAACAAAGTGCGCTCCATCGCCATTAGGTGATGCCGAGGACACAGTGCCGGCTTTTCTGGCAGGAGACTGTTACCAATGCGGTTTCAATTTCGTTTTCACAGGTAAACCTCCTTATAACGAACCTCCATATAATGAATTCCTTGACATAACGAAGTTTTTCTATTTCTTGCCATTACCCCATAGAAGCACAAGTATTTGCGACCTCTATGTAACAAAGTAACAACGGGAACGATCCTTCACAACAATTTTCACCACGAGGCCACGAGTGCGCCGCTTCGCGCACGGCGCGCTCGTGGCCTGGTCGATTCTCACGCATAAGCGAGTGCTAAGCGGGGAGGCAAGCGTGCGCCCTACGAGCTGGCATTGTCGCTGTTCTTTCCGCCGTGGTCGCATTCACGGATGTACCCTCCCCCTCCTTACAAACCAAAAAAGAAAACTAGCTTTCAGTTCGCAGTGGCACGCTTTTAATTAGCATGAAGTGCGGGGCCACGCTGCAGATGGAGGGCGCTTTACCGCATACTGCATTCATTCGAATTTAGGCCGATACTTTTCTAAAAAGTTTCTTTGTATCAAACCACAGGGTCAGCTTAGATTCCATGATTTTGAAAAGGGCATCATCTTTTCATTAAGAAGAGTGGTGCACAACTAGCGCCACCTCGACGGAATTGTAGTCGTAAGCAGCCGAGCCAAACTGGCTTAGGTACACACAAGAGGCCACCATTTTGATCATTATGGCAAGGAGAGCCCTTCGTCGTTTCTAGTCGCGCTTCGAGTGGTCCGTACACAGCATAGCTCAACGGCACCAAACAGGCGGTGTCATTATAGTGCCACCTATAAAAGGAAAGTTGTCCTAGCCATGGAGTTGTCGTCCAACATTCAAGCCGAGAGGAACTTTGAAGTGGACGAAAAAAAAATGTGCATTGCTGGAGGGGCTGCTGCTGCAGCGTGAAAGCGAAAAATCGTGAAAAAGTGTTTTTGAAAAACCATATTTTTGGATTGTATATCACATAAACTACCTATTCTGTAAATATCACCGTCTAATTCAACGATTCGCAGAACGCACTAATTTACGAATTTTAAATACCTTCTACTGAAAACGAGGAAACCGCACCGCAAGTGGACATGGAGGAGACTTAATGGCGAAAATAAGGACGAAATAGACTTTATAATGAGTGCACACCCAGGCATCGTGCAGGATGTGGAAGTGGTTGGCAAGGTACGATGCAGTGACCATAGAATGGTACAGTCTCGAATTCGCCTAGACTTGAAGGAACGACAGAAACTGATACGCAAGAAGCCAATCAATGAGCTAGCACTGAGAGGAAAAGTACAGGAATTCAGAGTCTCGCTTCAGAACAGGTACTCGGCTCTTAGTGAGGAAACCAACCTCAGCGTAGATGCAATGAATGATAATCTAACGAGTATCATTAGGGAGTGTGCAGTGGAAGTTGGTGACAGGGTAATTAGACAGGACACTGGCAAACTTTCCCAGGAAACGAAGAATCTCATTTAGAAGCGTCAAATCATGAAAGTCTCAAGTACAACAGACAAAATAGAACTGGCAGAGCTTTCGAAGCTGATTAATAGACGTAAAGTATGTGATGCGAGAAGGTATAACATGGAGAGAATTGAACACGCTCTGAAAAACGGAGGAAGCGTCAAAGCAGTGAAGAGGAAACTTGGGATAGGAAAAAATCGGATGTATGCACTAAGGGACAAAGAAGGCAAAATAACTACCAATATGGATAGGATAGTTAAAATAGCGGAGGAAATTTACAGAGATCTGTACAGTAGCCGGGACAACCACGATCTTAATACTATAACAAATAGCAGTAACCCAGATAACACCCCACCAGTAATGATAGAAGAAGTTAGAAGAGCTTTGGAGAGCATGCAAAGAGGCAAAGCTGCTGGTGAGGATCAGGTAACATCAGATCTGCTGAAAGATGGAGG